ATATATATATATATATATATATATATATATATATATAAAATACAGGTTTGAAAAGGCAAGTAGATGATGAAAGAACTGTCCTTTTTTGGTGAACTGTCTAAATAACACAGGAAATGTATGAATGTCACTGTATTAAATAAAATATCAACCCAAGTGAAATATATTTTAAAGAACGTTAGCACAAGCACACTTTTAAAGCAAAACATTTCACAAAAGTGAAGTTGGGTCTGAGAAAAGGTCATGTTTGTTTGCAAATTATATTTGGTTTGATATTTTGTTTAATGCAGTGGCATGCATACATTTAAGTGTGGCTTAAAGGAAAAGTTAACCTAAAAATCAAAATTCTTATAATTTACACATCTGTATGACTTTTTCTTCTTCTGTCGAACATGTCTTAGCTGTTTTTGCCCCCATTGGACCTCATTAAATTTCTTTGTTTTTCACTGCAATTTTTAAAAAATTTTGTCGACACAAAAAATGCAGGTTTGGAAGGACATAGATAAAAGAAAACCCCTTTAAGTTTCCAAATAACACGGGAACGTTTTTCCTGTGCCTTTGCTTGAGGTTGCATAAAATCCATGGGAAACAGACATGTATTTTACTTTAATAGCTCCTGGGACATTAAATCTTAACAGTCTGTTTAATTCAATGCAACCTCAAACAATGCCCTTAGGAAGGCACTTATAGACCCGGTTTCACAAACGGGGCTTAGCTTAAGCCAGGACTAGGCATTAGTTAAATTAAGATATTTAAGATACTTTTACAAAAATGCCTTAGAAGAAAATATTACAGGTGTGCATCTTGACACAGTACAACGACACTGACGTATTTTAAGATATGTCAGAGCAAGATATTTTCAGTTGAGACAGCTCAAACATTGTCTGTGAAACAGGGGGTTAATATTGTATATTCCTTTGTTGTTGACTTGTCATGATATAATGCATACATACCACTGTGTGTATACTGTATATTCATGCAGACACATAAGCATTACAAACCAAGTTCAATTTATTACACACTTTTTCCAAGAGTTGTCAGGCTGTGTATCTCTGGTGTGTGTGTGTGTGATAAGAGAGTAATATTACGGGGATTACCATGAGATGGTAGGCCCTGGGGCTGGTGGATGAGGGTGCGGGGGAGGAGGGGCTGTTTCCTGGCTGTAGCCCTTGTTTGTCTGCCTGACCTGGCAGCACAAGGGGCAGATCCTGCTTGGATACAACCCTGATCCCACGCCTGTCTGAAGCTGTTAGCCAGCCGCTCTGTACAGCTAACTGGGCTTAGTGCATCTGGGCATAGGGAGGGGTGTGGGCTGGGGCCACCGCATGCTTTGTGCTTTGAGCAGGGGTGAATGCTGTTATGGCTTTTGACTCTGGTCTTATTCATCCTGCCATTTCTTTCTTATCAGTCAGAGCTGAACACTGTCTGTCCAGTCATTCATATCACTTTTTTTTGCTTGCTCCTACCCAAATATGCATGCACTTAAACTGTTTTAAGTTGTTTATTGGCTGTTTATTTAGAAAACTTACTTTGAGCTTTAGTCATAGGCTGAGAGTGAAAAGGTCTAGGGTAACTTTCTACCTCCTGACCTTCCTATAGATGCCTTGTGTTGAAAAGCAAAGCCCTGGTAATTCCCTAATAAGTTTAACTATTTATTTAAAGCTGATGAGAATTCTATGTGCACGCTATTGTTGTCTTTCTGTAATTTGATCAGTAAAATCCTGGGCGAGAAGTTGATGTTGTGTGCTGTGATGCTGTATTAGCACACGTCCCTCCATAGTCTCAATCTGGAGATTACAAATAAACCAGCAGTATTCTTTTTAAACATTCTGTAAAGCTTTCACAGCTCAATTGCTGTTTTTAAAGGCCTGTTTTTATTTTTCAATTGGTGGATTGAGAGGTAGTTTGGGAAGTCTGTTACAGCCTTTCTGTGTGTTGTTTCTGTCCTGGATACAAACTGAATCCATGGGCAAACTATGAGAGAGAGAGAGATCAAAGATAGAACTTGCAGTGAGCAGTCTGTTTCTTTTATTTGTTATTTTTAGCCTGCAAAAATTCAAATCTTAATTTTGGTTGCTGCCCTTTTAAGTAAAATCAAAGTGATGCAAAAGTGACAATCTACAAAGAAAAGTTTATTGCACTTTGTGACCACTTTTTAAATTGAACTGGTATGAGTAAACTGGCAAATTATTAAATTTTAAATATGTGCACTGCATACACAATATCATAATGGTGATTATATATATATATATATATATATATATATATAGTATGTATATTACAGTGAAAAAATGATCAACAAATTGAGTATTCATAATGTTCCAGGTCTTTGTGATATGAAGAAAGCCATACTCTGTGAAACTGTTCTGCTTACAATATTTAGTATAGGTATTTAACCTCCACCTCTCCACCCTTTCCTTCCCAATCCTTTTGCTCTTAAGACCCCAAAATCAGTGGAAGCTATTATGTAAGCCACTTTGCCTTATCTGATATCACACAATGTATATTCCATATAAGGTCACAAGCCTGTTACATCCTTTTTGTTTTTCATTGAAGGACAGCAGGACTCTTTATGACAGCTCATATAGTGAAATATCACAAATCTAGGTTAGATCATGTTTTTCTCCCCTTTTAAAAAACTTTCCCCCTTGTTTAACTTTATATATTACATTTTTGTGTGATTTATTCTGAGATTGTGGTGTTTAGTCAGGTTAATCAGGTATGTCTTTAAATACAGGTTCTAAAATATACAAATCCATCCGTTCAAAATGAATGTAACGCTGCTTTTCTGACCTCGCATTCTTTGTTAGTGAGGGGAGACCTGTCACCCAATCGGTCGTCATGAGGCGGCCCGTGTCGTCACTCCGCCCGCTCTATAAAACTCCCCCCGACTCACTCACCTGGTTACACAAACACCTCTCTAATCTACAGCCGAGCGCACGCTTATTTTGCTATTGTCAATATTTTTACAGCCTGTTTAGTGGGCAAACTGAAGGAATTTTACAATTCTGACAGCCCTAAAAGTTTTAAAAGACGATTTTTATGAATCTTGCAAGTTTTTCATATTTCACGGGCATGTGCAACATGACGGCAGAGTCCCAGCACTCACCAGCCGAGGCGGCCAGTCCAGTGGTGGTGTCTCCCAACGTGAGCCTGGACTCCCCGATTCCTCTTTCTCCACCAGCGTTGAACCACCAAGCTCGAACCAAGGACGGCGTTCTCATCAAAGCCGAGCCCCGGGGCAGCAGTCCAAATACAGACAGGGAGGAAGGGGTTTCATTGGGTCAAACAGAGGAACATCTGGCCGCCACTGGCAGCCGGCGGAGGAAAAGGCCAGTGCCGCGAGGTAAACCTCCCTACAGTTACATCGCGCTTATAGCAATGGCCATCGCCAATTCACCTGAGAGAAAACTCACTCTAGGCGGCATCTATAAGTTCATCATGGAACGCTTTCCTTTTTACCGCGAGAATTCCAAGAAGTGGCAGAATTCCATACGGCATAACCTCACCCTCAACGACTGTTTCGTGAAGATCCCGCGAGAGCCCGGTAGGCCCGGCAAAGGAAACTACTGGACGCTCGACCCTGCCGCTGAGGACATGTTCGACAACGGGAGTTTCTTGCGCCGGAGGAAGCGCTTCAAGCGGACTGATGTTAGCACATATCCTGGGTACATGCAAAGCTCGAGCGCTTTCACGCCCACACCTATGGGTAGACAGGTCTACCCCAATGCTTTGTACCCGGGTGTAACGTCTGGCTACGGGACTCAGTTGGCTGGTTCCCCGCACCCGGCGATGCTGCATCACTATCAGGCATCGGCCGGGGTCACGCAGGGTCAGCCCAGGATGTTCAGCATCGATAACATTATTAGTCAGCAGACTGTGATGCAAAGTGGAGGAGATCTCAACCCGCAGTCTCTCGGCCTGGGTGTTGGAGACTTGGGTGCCATGACCTCCAGCTGTTCCGTGTCCACCTCAGACCCAAGCTGCTTTCAGACACAACCGATAAATCCCACGAGCAACATGCTGAACAGGAACACTGGACATCTTGCTTCAAACATGACAACCAGCTACACGTACCCCTCCTCGGCTTCACCTACTCACCTGTCCGGGGTCACGCAGTCCAGCTTCTCACCCGGAGGTTCACAGGTGTACTGTTCGGGAAACAGGATTTCGCTGCCGCCTGTGCGTTCTGGGTCGTGCGCAGATCATACAGACCCACTTTTAGGTCTCTCCGGACCGACAATGAACTCATACAATAATTCATATATGAGACAAGCCAATTTTGCCTCAGGACTGGAGCGATACATGTGAAAACATGTGAAAATGGCCCCGAGATTGAGTTCTTGTTATGTAACAAAAGTTGTGTACCGTGTGACAGAATTAACCAGTTGTATTAATTACAGTTCTGTTATTGATATGTAGTCTGAAACATTTGTTTGACTATATATCAGAGGACAAACCCCCTGAACAATGTAAATATTTTAAGCAAATAAATGTTTTTGTGTAATAATTTTTCGTTTGTTCTCTATTTTAACCAACTCGTTCAGAACAATTTGATTCAATAATACATAACAACAATAATACGTATCATCTTGCAACTTGAGTGTTTCCATTACATAATTAATAGTCCGTATTTAAATCATTTAAGTTATTTAACATCGGACACAATGTTTCTATATTTATCCAGTATTAACACTTTTATTTTTTTTTTAGTAATACATTTGATTAAAAAGTTCGGTCAGTTGCTATAAGTCTGTCTGTGGGTCTTCTCTAGAGAAACAAATCAGAATTACAATTCAGAATGACAGAATTCCCCCCCCCCCCCCCCCACAAAATAATAGGCTATGTTAAACAAAATATTTATGCACTTTATTTTGTCTTCAGTCACAACGTCCACATATTTTGCTGGTGAGGGAGCGACATCGACTGGTTATTGGAATAAATATATAGCCTAAATAAATACAAATAAAATATAAATAAAACCAATATTTAGAGCATTTCACATAAAATCCACTAGATGTCAGTCGCCACCAAGTTAAGACCATGACTGGGTTTCCCAATATCCTAAGAACGTTTAAACGCATGCTTGTCTGTGTAGCACGTAGAAGACGTTTTATCACATAGACAAAATGACACTTCTTAATTGACAAAGCATTTTTTTCATCACTGCAATGTCATATTATTTCCGAGAATTAAAACAATACTCCGCAGTAGGCTACTCTCTTTTGAACGAATGTTTTCAATTGTGTGTATAAGTTTTCAAAGGAGCACAAATGTGGGCTACATTTGAGCATTTTGTTTATTTATTGAGCATCTATTTTTGAAACCGTGTCATCAAAACCTTAATTACTTTTTTCCTTTTTAAATTCAGAATGTTTTTTTATTGAATGTTCAGCCCCTTTGCGAGATGAAGTGTTTTTCATGCTTGGAGGTCATTTCAAGCTCTTTTCATATTGGGGAGACAAACTCTCGTTTGGCCTTAGTTCAGTAGGCTGCTTTTGCAACTCTTAACGATGCACTTAATTTCTTCTAATTGACATGCAATACTGGTTTGACAAGATGGTGTTAAAATTTTTTTTTTTTTTTTAAATGTCCGACTTCATTAATAAGAGCCTGATGTGACTAATTATTGAGAAACCCAGCCCATGTCGTTGTGGCCCTCCGACTTTTTGCAAAACGATTACTTCGACATTTTATTTAGGAATAATAAAGTTTAAGGGCCACAATACTGGTTTTCGCAACAACAACAAAAAAATTTTAATTGTATGTTATTTATTTAATAATTTGTTCTTTTGTCGTTTGCATGGGATGCACCGTAGAACCGCTAGGTGGCAGTAATGTGGTTAAAAATGTTACAGAATTACAGAGACCTTTTATACTGCGTCAGCCATCAACACATCTAGTGAGCCCACTTAAAAGCGAAAAGGATGAAAAAGGGAAGGGGAAGCCTATTTGTCAGTTTAGGCCAAAAACCGACTGTGATTATCTGGTTCTTTTTACTTACAGAGTGTCGCCTGTGGTTTGCACTATGACATTTATGATGTGTTGAGACAGAAAAGAGTGTGATTTAAAGTTTTTTTTCACTCGAGCGCTGTATAGAGACTGAATTACATAATGCATTGAAAAAAGATCCTAAATATAGGATACCCTAAATTGATAAAACATTTTGAACTATTGAATTTATAAATCAAATATATTATTTGATGAGACAGAAGAACTGCATGAGGTGCTAACTTGACCTCTGAGTTTGGGCTCCCACATGCAGCTGTTCTGTAGTGCCATTGCTGTTCTGTAGTAGTCTCCGCCATCGTTTCCACAAGCAGTTCATGAACTACAATTTTGACCTTGTTTACAACTTGCCTTTCTTTTATAACGTCGACATTTTTATATCTCAAATGCTTAGCAATTAACTCCTTTTAAGCTATTAAGACTACAGACTAAACTACAGTCTAGCAAGAGATTAAACTAAATTATTTTTAATTACCGAAATGTCTGTTTTTATGTGTACTTTACATTTCTAGATTAATAGCAGAAATGAAGCATGTTTAGCCTATATGGAATAGAAATTCTTATGGGAAACGGAATATAAGAGAAAATATGGTCACAAAGCAAGCGGAGCATGAAATTTGGCATATCCTGTGGAACAATTTTTAATCCGACTGAGGCACAGACTGGGTCTTGGAGTTTGTATATGAGTAATGAGCATAATGAAAAATGAATTCGATGGCCACGTTTTGTGGCGCATAGCTTGTCATCTATAAGCAATGACGAATTCAAACAGGTTGCATAGAGTATATATGTGCTTTTTATACTTTAGGAGAATATTTACATAGTATCTATAAACGGATGTGTTTGGAATTCCTGATAGAGGAAAAAAACAAAAAAAAAAACAGCGAGAGGTGAATAACGGCATGAAAAAACTAACCTTCGTTGAGCTTGAACGCACGAGATCTTGTACAAAACGCAAATTTCGTTTCACCCCCTTTTTGTAAGCATATGTTATTATATTCATAGACAATTTAATGTTATTTTCATGCCAAAGAAAATAAATGTTGTTAAAACAGTCCATGCACCTGCCGAGTTCTAATAACTTATACGCACGAGATCTTGTACAAAACGCAAATTTCGTTTCACCCCCTTTTTGTAAGCATGTTATTATATTCATAGACAATTTAATGTTATTTTCATGCCAAAGAAAATAAATGTTGTTAAAACAGTCCATGCACCTGCCGAGTTCTAATAACTTATTGATGGATGCTGTTCTGCATTGGTAATACAATGCAAATGAATACAAGGATATTAACAAATATTGTGAAATATTTAAATATGTGCAGTGAAATAAATTGTGGCCTCTATATGCTAAACTGAAGATTAACTTTGACTAATCCTGGATAATATTAAAATAATTCGTCCCTAATCGTGCCATGCTATTTTGTAAATAATCACTGTTGCTTTGTGACTAACATTTCATGTAACCTATTATTTGATGTGTTAGTTTATTTGGAATTTTGATTTAAATCTTTTTGAAGGAAACGATTTTATTGGCTACTATTTGGTAGAAATGTATTTGTTTATTTCTGCCTCTTTGTTAGCCAATGGAATAAAAATATCGATCTGATGATTTAATGCAAAAAAATGCCAGTGCTTTTCTTTCTTTCTATTGTTTATTTGCTATATCATTAACATATTATGTTAAAGTAACCTATCTATTAATATCTATTCATTATTTATTTGGATGATATCTTATTGATATTTGGCTGATTATTTTAAGCAACATTAGAAAATAATTAATCATTTAGTGTAGTAAGTTGTGATATTATTTGTTTTATGCGTTGCCAGTTTATTTGTTGTCACGTCTTTGAAAAATCCTCAGCTTTATTGAAGTTAAATCGTACGGGATTTAACCTGCCATATAACCTGTACAGACTTTGTATTTTATCAGTATTATTTTTGTCATTTGTCACGAATGTCAGTTAAATATAGACATTAAGGGGAGTTGATAACACTTGGCGTTTTCTCCCCTCTGCTGCTTTCCTCGGCTCTAAACTTCCCGTAGTTCCTGGTTACTGACATGCTGATCACGTGATTATGGTGCCTGGATAAATAGTTTTTGGGAGCCGCGCGGGGGTATACTTGCAGGCTCATTCACGAACAGCGCTGCGACTGTACACGATAACAAATGCTCGAATAATGAAAACGGAAAACGTTAGTAAATGCATAGTCCTAATGCTATTCGTATGATCCAAAAGTTCATATTGCATATGGACCAACTACGCTCCACGAAAAGGAAAAATCGAGGTCTTAACCGAGTGTCCAGTTAGACTTTGAAAGCGCTCTGAGCTCTGGACGATTTTAGTGTTATGCGAGTCCGGTGTGATTCTTTCCAGTGTTTTTTCGTTTCTTAATGTACATTTTCTATGCGGCTCCCGGACGTGAAGAAAACATATTCTTGGCTTCAGGGGGACGGGAGTTTTGTAGTTCCAGAACGCACAAGTGACTGAGAGGACACACTGCTTGTGTTGGGTGCTACACGAGACTGGACACGGAACGCGAGAGAGGAAGACAAAAAGACTCTCCAAGGATGACTCTGGGGACGGACATGTCGGATAGTTCTGCTCTGTCCGACGACGTGGACATTGATGTCGTTGGCGGGGATATTGTAGAGGGCAAATATCTTCACCACCATCATAGTTTTCACTTGGAAAATGACTCAGATGACAATCTATCCCAGAATGCGGGGGAGGGCGCAATCTCTCCGGGCCAAAGCAGCTTGGACTGTCCAGCTGACCGGGTCGGGCCAGGGGATGACAACAGAACCGGTGCGTTAAGTGGGGATAAACCAGGGAAAAATGCATTGGTGAAACCCCCTTATTCTTATATAGCCCTGATAACCATGGGTATCCTGCAGAGCCCGAAGAAACGTTTGACTCTCAGCGAGATCTGCGAGTTCATCAGCAACAGGTTCCCATATTACAGGGAGAAATTCCCCGCGTGGCAAAACTCTATCCGTCACAACTTGTCTCTAAATGACTGCTTCGTCAAAATACCCCGTGAACCCGGTAACCCGGGCAAAGGCAATTACTGGACCCTCGACCCAGAGTCCGCCGACATGTTTGACAATGGGAGTTTTCTGCGCAGAAGGAAGCGCTTCAAAAGACACCAGACCAACGAGATCCTCAGGGACGCGGGGGGATTTCTACCTGGCTTTGGCTACGGACCGTACGGTTACAATTACGGCCTACAGCTGCAAAATTTCCACGCGCATCACCCCTATCACCTACACCACCCGGGAGGCGCGTTCCCTTTCCAAAACGCACCTTGTGCTCTCCCCGCGACTTCTTCGATATTCTCCACGCCACACAGCTTGCATCCGTTTTTAGGTACTGAGCTGAGAAAGCCTTTCTATCCTCAACTCAGCCCGACTCTTCCTAGTCTGGCGCCTCTCAAAACGGACACTA